ACACCTCCCAACTTGTCTAACATCCATGCTTTGGGTGCATTGAGACGCTTCAAGTGTTTTTTAGGACCACGTGCCTAAAGAGAACAAAAATATATATTTAATAAAAAATATAAAAAAGAAATGTTAATAACAAAAACGTATTTAATATGTTAAAAGAGAAATATATTTCAAAAATTTGAACGATAAATGAATTTGTTGGTTATGTTTCAATAAGAATGTCTACTTTATAAAACAATAAATAATTATTATATATAAATATTTTGTTAAATTTTCTTAAATTGAATATGAAAAAAAAAAAATACTTTATACAATAAGAAATTAGATAGTTAACACGAAAAGGGAAACAGCACGCCTTTTAGAAACATATTTTTTAAATTCTTTCAACACAATTTACTATATATTTAAAATCTATAAATTCCAATGACCACTAATTAATACATAATCATCTCCACATACAATTTTTTAATTATTTTGCATTATAAGTTCGATGCAAGCAGATATTAAATAGATAAAGTAAAGCTAACTTACCATCTCGGTTCTCTTAATGAAAAAGACTCGAGTTGGTCAATTCTGCGATAAACTGCAGGAAAAATGGTGGCAATCGATACTCGATTTTCAACAATCGACTCTCTCACTTATCGATTCTCTTATGTGTCGATATGCTGAACTATCGATTCTTTCAATTATCGATTGCTATTATTTCTTTTTGTTTTTATTATTCCATAATCATTAAATTGTTACCAAAATAAAAAAAAATTATATTGTTATGATATTACAATTTATTTATAAAAATATTGGAATATATATATATATATAATATAAAATAAATTTTTTCATTTATCATTTATATTCTTAATTTCATTAGCAATATTATCTAGTACACTGGATGCACCAATTCTGAATAATGTTTTATCTAACCACGAATTACCCAATTCTTGTTTAACTAATGTCATCCATTCTAAGACATCTGATGCTGTTTTAATACCACCAGCTGGTTTAAATCCAACCTATAACAAATCAATCATAACCTAATACAATCATATCGTTGGAGAGCATAAATATTTTGTTAGATGGTCAGTCTGTTTACCTTTTTTCCTGTTCGTGTATAGTAATCTTTTATAGCTTTGCACATAACTATACCATCATGTAACGTGGGATTAACAATATCCTTTCCGGTAGATGTTTTAATAAAATCACTTTCAACCATCATAGCTACCATTGATGCTTTATATACATTATAATAATTAGATAATTCTCCTACAGAAAGTATTGTTTTCATGCATTTATTGTAACACGATTTACGCATAAATTTTAATTCATCGTATAGTTGTTTCCATTTTTGTTCTAAAGCTAATGTTCGATTAATTACAACGTCTATTTCTTTAGCTTCGGTATGCACCGTGTAATTGACTTCTTCAAGACGTGTTTGTAGAGGATATTGACCAGAGGGAAAGCCTGCAGCTACTACTTACAAATTTAATTATTAGATAATGTTTTCTTTTTTAAATCAAGTTATATGATATTATAAATAAGATAAAATTACCGGTAACTACAAAAACATCATGCTTTGTTTCAACATTTTTTAATGCATTTATAGCATCTTGTATTCTTAATGGATAGACACATACAGCTGCTGTATGTAGCGGTTCATCCCAATCATATTTCACTCCACTGAGAGGATTTAAAGCCTACAAAGATAATACAAATAAATAAATAAATTCATTATTATATTTGTATAAAATCATATATTACAACTTACTCTTTTACATAATTTTTCAATAGATTCAGTTGTATCATTGCCTGCCAAGGACGTCAAATCAATGAAAGTAATCGCTTTAAGTAACGTAGCAATTTTATCAGTTACACTTAGGGACTTTGCTTCTTCTTTTATTTGCTTTACTTTTTTTTCTATTTCCAACTCATCGATAGAAGTATCTAATAGATCTATTTACCAAAAAGAAATACTTAAATATTACAAAAATATTTATATATGTATATAAATAGTGAATATATTTAATTATTTACCAGCATCATATTCTCCAACATTCTTTATTGATACTTTTTCCATTTTTTTTTTTTTTTGATATAATATAATAATCTTTATAAATAGTCGTTTAAACTAAGATGTTACTACAGCAGTAAATATATAAAGTAATAAATGTTTTCGGTAAAGATAGTACACATACGAATGTAAGATAAATCATATCAATTGATAGATATGATGGTTTATTTTCTTCGTAATATAATTTGCAATTTCTTTTGTTTATTTTTAATTGAAAAATATAAAAATAATGTATTATTCAAAAGTTAACATGAAATAATGTACATTAGAATTTCATTTGCATACATTTTTCTTGTCAAATCGTCTTTATCTTCAATAATGATTTTTATAATTTATATAAATTATTTCCATAATATTTACGTTTCATTTTTTAATACGTTTTAATTAACCAATAACAGTTGTCCATTTGGTGTAGTAATACTATACCACGAAAGAACTACTTTAGGTTCGACAATCATCAACAAGGTCATGACAGAAGGCGGGTGGTTTGTCAAAATAAGATCATTACGATCATGGGTAAGTAACCAAATATTTGTTGCGTATTATTTTAATAAAATACTCTAACTTCATTTATTATATTATCAATATTAAGAGATATAATAATTAAACAGAAATAAAAGAATTTCAATGAAAAATCTATTCCATTCAAATATGGTAGATAAAAAAAATAGTTTCATTTAAACATTCTTTTTAGCAATCTTTGTATCGTTCAATTACACACATATATTTATATATGTATAAATATATATTTACAAAATAAAAATAAATAATAGATAAATAAATGAGTAAAATCTACTTGAACTTACAATTAATTATAACATTTAAAAAAAATTCTTTGTAAAACAGGTACCATTAAGTAATTCAATACAAAGTATAATGTATTAATTAAATTTGAACTATAGTTAATTTTAAGTAAATACTAACAAATTATACTAGCAAACTAATTTGTACTAAAACGATACTATCATTATCTATGTTGTTCCCATCGTTCCCAATATTGAGTTGTTTGCATTTCAGCTAATCGAGATATAGTGCGATCAAAGGCAAACAGTTCTTCTTCGCCAGTAAAAATATTAGACTTATGATCGGCCTAAAAAATATTTATTATTATTGCAAAGCCTCTTATAATTTGTCAAATATTTTACACTTACGGAATCGTTCGAGATTTTTAAATCGTCCATTAACATTCGTTTTTCGTCTGTATATTCACTGTCGCCTTCTGGTAAAAATAATTGTGTGTGTGGTACTGCGGCAGATATTACAACTCTTACCTACAATTAATTAGTATATTTTTTAATACTAATTTAATATAAAAAAACAATAGATATTAATATCAATTAACATTACTTTGCTATCATACAAGGTATCGATCAGAGTAATAAATCTTCTTGCTTGAGATTTTAATCGAAGATTTAATTGTGGAACATCTCTTATTATTACTGTATGAAAAGCTTGACTTAATTCCAAGTAATCGCTAGCACCAAGAGGCTAAAAAATATATTTTCGAAAAATTTAGAAAAAAAAATACAAAATATAATTATATAAAAGTTATATAATAGTATGATATGTTTACCCTATCGCATAATTCATCAAACGTGGAGTCTAAAACTCTACCACAAGTTCTTTGAAACTTTACATTACGACCTTTTATAGAAATCGTACGTGCTCTAACAATGTCATTTTCCTTTGAGCACAAATATTTGAAAACGTTGTCCACATCTTTTACCACGTCTTTCCCTTTTCTTTAACAAATTCATCATTTTCTATTAATTATTCGTAGTATTTGGAATTGAATGATATTTGTTAACTTACATAAAATATATTTTATTATCTCCAGATCCAGCCCTCAGCCTGTAATCAATACCGGAATCTAACGTTTCAACTAAGCAGTGGTCTTTTAAGACTTTAATAAAAGGTACAAAATTTCCTCTTTGTAATCCATTCTTGTATAAGTCGTCAGGTGATCTATTACTCGTTGCAACGACAATCACACCATTATTGAATAATTCGGTAAATAATCGTTTTAATATCATTGCATCTGCAATATCAGTCACCTGAAATATATTGTATAAGAAAATATACAAAATAAGCACATGTTTTGATTCAATCATCAATATTATTATTGTCGAATTGAAACCTGAAATTCATCAAAACATAGTAACCAAGCTTCTTCTGTAATAGCAGCTGCTACTGGTGGTATCGGATCAAATGGTTGAAGTTTAGTACTATTGGTATCTCTCACTATAGTCTTCTTAACCTCGTGAACTTTCTTGTGAACATCAAGCATGAAGGAATGAAAATGTACTCGTTTCTTATTTTCAATCTAGAGTGACATAATCAACGGTAGTAATAATATTACTTGACATTAAAACATAGTTTCATTTTATTCTGTATTGCATATGGAAAGCCATTATACCTTAACACCTTTTATATAATTGTCTTTATAATATATTCCATTAGCTGTACAAGTAATAGTAGTATAAAGGACACCTGTGCAGTGCCCATATTTTGGCTTCCCATGTGCATTACTTACTTAGAATTTAACTTGAAATACCTGACAACAATTATAAAAAAGATCCATTAACATGGTTTTACCACCACCGACAGCACCATAAATATACAATCCTTTAGGTGTTTCCTTTTTTCTCCATCCAAACCATTTTCCTAATATATTAAAGTGATCTGGTTTATATTCATGAACTTCATCATATATTCTTTGTAAGTTTTTAACTACTTTCAATTGATGATCATCGTTCATTAATTCTTTTTTAGTTACTTTTTCTTTTAAAACTCTGATAGGACCATTAGCAACGTTTAATTTAATATCATGAACGTATCCACACCATTGAAAGGAAAGAACAGGTTGTGATCGTTGAAGTAAATATGAAATGTTAATTAAACCAGAATTTTGTTTCACAAGAAGGCTAGTCATTGTTATTGATAATTATTCTGAAAGAAAAAAATATATTATAAATTTATACAAGTAGAAGAATACTTCTTTCAAATATATTCTATTCACTTTTTTAATAGTTCTCTTGAAAAGAAATATATTTGATGTGGTTGTGTGTTTCATTCAGCATTACAGATATATATTTCTGTCAAGAGAAACATGAATTGCACATGCTCAGTAAAACAGTGAACAGAATGTATAAATAAATTAGTCAGGAAATAGAAAAAAGGTTTTCCTTATCCAATTTATTCAATAAAATATACATAAATAAACTTATACGATCGTAGAAAAATATGTTAAAATTAATAAATAATTAACACAACGTATTTATTAATATCGTTACACTAAATAAATGAAATCGTTAGCTTTGTGAACGCGATCAATATGGAAACGTATCACATCTCGGACAATAAACATGTGTTAAAAGATATATTATATCATACCGAAATATAGATAATCGAATAACAATTATATAAGATAATAAGTAATAAATAAGGTTTCTCCTTGTACAAGTCAGGTGATTTACGTCACGAAAATTATCAAATATTATACACTCTCTTATCTAACTCGAGGCGTTAGTTTTACTGTTGATGATGCTATTCGGCTTTTTTTTACAGCGCATGCATACACCTCTTATTAGTCATTCTTAAAAGTATAGGGGAAATATATTTTGAACTTTTTATCTCTTGCGCGGTAATAGCATGACGTAATGGAGGTTAAAAAAAAATGAAGATGTTTGAAACGATGACGTTTATTTCACATCCTATTGCACCTATGAGTAGAAGTATACATCACTTACTTGCACGTTGAAAAAGGAAGTGCATGGTCATCATCCCTCAAGTCAATGTCATTTCCTGTTACCGTATTTAGATACATCGTTTTTTAATTTGTATTTAAAAAATATATATATATATATGTTTATTAATAATTTTTCTACTTGCATAGATAATCAAGTTATTTTTGTCATTAATCGTTAAAAGAGAATAACAAATCTGAAAAAATTAAATAATTAAGAAGAATTTATGTGTTAAAATACGATAGACTAAATCCATGTGATATAGATAGAAAGACAAGTAGCTGGCGTCCACCCAATCGTAACCTCGTCACTTATCCAAACTTATTAACGCGTATATTTTAGTAACAAATCAATATTAATACAATATTTATAAAATAATATTTGTCCAAGATTTAACAATATTCCTTATTATAATATATTAATTTTAATAAAATAATATTTTTTGTTTATAGAAAAACCATTTAAGTTCCAGTGATCATCACGCTATTCAAATTTCTTATTGAAAAGAGTCACGTTATTAATAATATACAATTGATATATTGTTGCCTCGTTTGGCATTTATCTACATATTTTAAAAATTTCTGGAATTTGAATGGTTAATAAATAATAGTTTTAGTCATTATGATAAAGCTTTGGATTGTACGTCGAAGTATAGGTATTCATTCTTCGTTTGTCTAAACTACTTCCTTCTCTAGTAACATAGTAACGCCTTTCAATGACTTTGTCAAAAAATCTGCTGAGTTTTACAGACGAACTAGAACCAGCAGCTAATGCTCTTACTTGGCAACAGTCCTATTAATAAAATATCTTTTTAGTTAAAAGTTATGACATATATGGAAGATCAACATACCAAAAATATTTCATCCGCTCCACATTCTTCGGCAATAGTTGAAGTACGTCTCTGCATGTTTGATCTTACTTCCGATACTAAATCTAATTTTGTACCGATAACTAATATCGGTATCTGAAAATAATATTCAATTATATTTATATCAATTAATAATATACTTAAGCATTATTTCAATTTCACAATTACTTGAGTCGATCCTACAAACTTTTCAGGATCAAAATCATCGAACGATTTTGATTTAGAATAACTTCCATCTTTACTCAATGCCTCTTGTAACCATTTCTGTAAATTTTGTTGCGATTTACGGTTTGTTAAATCATGGACAAGTATTATACCTGGCAAAGAAATTAAAACATTTAATAAGAGTTGAAAATAAATATTCATATTGCGTAGAATATTTTTCTTATTTATCCCTTACCATTTGTAGGATTGTAAAAGACAGATCTTGTATTTTTATGATTTTGGCTTCCACCTATATCCCATAGTTCAATAAAATATCTTCTTTGATTAGGTGTACCTTCCTTGTATTCATGCAATTTTACTTCAACAGAACAACCTATCGTCCAGGAAGGATTACTGATCGGTTGTTGATGGCATATAAGATGAGTCAATGATGTTTTACCAACACCTGCATAGAAAATTGATTTATAGAAAGATATTATAGCATTTATTAAACTAAAATAAGCAATAATAAAATAAATATACTTATCTAATTGTAAAATATACAATCAAAATATTGCAAAATTATACTTTGCATAAGAAATGATATTTGTCAAAAATACTATTTAATTTTTTATTTTTACTATATTGAATTAATAAAAATAAATATTGTTGAAATTATTCAATTTACATACCAGAATCACCAACTACAATAATTTTAACTTTATCTATTGCTGCCATTAATAATTTATAATAAATACTATTTATTATAGGTTATTTTGTGATAAATGCGTTACTGATTTAATTCGACAGACGGCGTTAGTAGCATGATACAGATGGTAACAAGCTACTGGCTCTTTAAACGATACAAACAAGTCTCACGTTAAGTGGTCTTTGTTTTTTGTATAATTATAATTATGATTCGTAAAATTGTTTTATTATATTTATTTATATTCGCAGTTAAAGATATCTCATTTTCTATTTAATTATATTGCAATTATAAATGCATTATACGATATAATTATATGAGGTTAATTTATCGCAATAATTTTATGAGGTTAGTGTTTCTCGCTTAGTTTTTAATATTAAATAAAATTAATTCATGTATTTGATAATAGAAATGATTTTATTTATAGTTTATAATTTTATTATTGTTTGCAGTTTTATTAAAAAATAATATTTGTTGACGGAATAATTGTACGTACCAATTTTAGTTTTATATATTATTGCCACATAGTAGTAATCATATATAATAAAGAAATAAAATGAGCGGAGAAGAAAAAGTTGTTACAGAAGTTCCAAGTAGTTTAAAGCAACTAGCTCGTCTTGTTGTACGTGGCTTTTATACTATAGAAGATGCTTTGATCGTGGATATGTTAGTAAGAAATCCATGTAAGTCTTTTTTGTATGTTTTTAGTATGTTGACAATAACATTTTGTTTCTTTTCAAAATTTACTCTATTTTTTAAGATAGTTTCATATTCCTAATCAAGTTCAATTTAAACAGGTATGAAAGAAGATGATATTTGCGAATTGTTAAAATTTGAACGTAAAATGTTAAGGGCAAGAATTTCTACTTTACGCAATGATAAATTTATACAAGTTAGATTGAAAATGGAAACTGGATTTGATGGGAAAGCGCAGAAAGTCAATTACTATTTTATTAATTATAAAGTAAGTAAATATAAAGAAAGCGTAGTCTCTGTGATATAGTCCGCAAATATAAATACATAAATTGTTAAATGATTTCAGACATTTGTTAACGTAGTCAAATATAAATTGGATTTAATGAGAAAAAGAATGGAAACTGAGGAACGAGATGCAACAAGTAGAGCTAGTTTTAAATGTACAAATTGTTTAAAAACGTTTACAGATCTTGAAGTAAGTTAAAAATGTATGATAGAAAGTTTGATTATTGTAAATAAAAATCTGTTTATTGATTTAGGCTGATCAATTGTTCGACATGTCGACTGGCGAATTCAGATGTACATTTTGTCGAGAAGTAGTAGAAGAGGATCAATCTGCTCTACCAAAAAAAGATTCTAGATTACTATTAGCCAAATTTAACGAACAATTGGAACCTTTGTATATTTTATTGAGGGCAGTGGAAGGTATCAAATTGGCACCTGAGATATTAGAACCCGAGCCAGTGGATATTAATACTATTCGAGGGTATGTACTAAATATTGGATGATATATCTGCACGTTTATATTATTATATATATTTTCTATCATTAATTTATTTTCTACAGTATCGATACAAGGAAACCAAGCAATCTTAGGGCACCTAACGAACAATGGTCTGGCGAAGCAACAAGAACGTCTGGTTTTATGGTAGAAGATACAAGGGTTGATGTTACTATTGGAGATGAATCTTCCGAAGATAACGCAGCAAATCGTAGAAAAGAAAGACCTATTTGGATGATGGAAAGTACTGTTATTAATGCTGATGGTTCTCAAGCTGATGGAATAAGTACACAAGAAACAATTTTGGATAAAGCAGCTGCCACTGCCACTAATATTATTACTACAAATACCAAGCAAGGCGAAGATATTATGTCAGTTTTATTGGCGCATGAAAAGAAAGGTGGGACCAATTCTACAACATCTGCTATTAAAGCAGTACTACCTCAAGAATCCAGCGATAGTAGCGATAATGAAGAAATTAATGACATGCAAACTATGGATACAGGTATGTAGTGTATATATAGAAAAAAATAGTATATTATATTATCTACATTTTAACAATATATATTAAAACAATTATTGATATTATTTAGGTGAAGTAGAAACTATGGATTCTGATGATGACGATTTAGTACCGACAGTTAGTGTGGCTGGAAAAAGTGTTGCTATTACAGATGTTAATGATACACTAATAGCAGAAATGACACCCACGGAGAAAGAAACTTATATTCAAGTTTATCAGGAATATTATTCTCATATGTATGACTAAATCAAAATTAGTCTAAATCATTGAATTTATAAATAATGAAAGACTGCTATATTTGACATTTAATCTGTAATATTTTGTACAGCCCCTCGAAAAATAAGCTAATTCCAAGAATTGTTAAAACGGAAGGCTATATATATATATACAGTAACACAATTTTTTTAGAAATAAAATTATATTCATGTGACATAATCGTAAATACATATGCAGTAAAACATCAATCATATATTTATTCTTAATGGTAATATTATGATTATGATAAAAGACAAGTAAGACTGTCAGCAATCTTTAAGTCCAAATTTTTGAATATACCTTTCCCTAGCTTCTTTAATCATCTGAGCTTTCCTTTCTTGGAATGAAGAAGTACCAAGGCAACTTTTATCTTTTGTTACGCTTGTTTGTGTTTTGCTTGCCGAAGCCACAGGTGTAGTAGTTTGAGAATTAGGTTCAGGAGTATAAGCAACTATTCCATCAAGAATATTGGCAATAGTGATATCAACATTTCTGGTTTTTACTAAAACAATATTTCATATATTATTAATGAATATTATTTAAAGATAATAAACAAATGTATATACAAAGAAAAAGATAATTTACTTACAAAGATCACGCAGTATTACATTATGTGGAACGAATGGAAGCACTTCACTGACCTGTCTTGCCATTCTTTGTATTTCTATATTATGCATAACTTGTGTATTTTGCGATCCTCTTGCAGGAAGTATTCTGGTATGCGCTTTTTCCATAATGCAACGCTTTTCAAATTCTGTTTTATCCGATACAGTATGAGAACTTGGAGTAAGTCCTATAGCATTAGCTATATCCTTTTCTACTTCTCTCGCTAACAATTCATGATCCGTATTTCTTTTAATTTTCAGGTACTTCAAGGTAAAAACGGTATAGGGGACGTACATAAACCAAAAAATATCCGTCCACCATGTAGACGCTAGCGATGTAATTTGTACGGATGTTATCGTTGGTCTTGTTACCTTAATAGCAACAGGTTGAACGGAAGTTTCTATACTAAAGGGCCATGAATTGAATTTCAATAATGCAACGCGGCTGTTAGTTGTACCAAATTCAGGCTGGAGTGCAATATTGCAGTGAGTAGTCGAAAGACATTGTTTTATATTAGCAATTAGAGATTCCTTACTACTCATATCCATTGTTTGCAATCCCAATGCATGACTTAAGGCATTAGGAATTTCCCATACGCTAGGCATCAATGTTTGCATCGCTCGATGCAAAGCAAAATGATCCAAAACTGATACATTATTAGCTATTATAATCCTCGATTGTTTGTCCCTGGACTCTCCTTCTGGATCAACTTTGACAACAATGCCAAATGCAAAACTAAGACAGTGATGTAAATATGTACGAAGTATGCTGCAATCTGGTAACAACGACGCAAGGAGCCAAAGGTGTAGGCTGACCAAGAGTCTTACTAATACAAGAATTACACCCACTGGTACGTATAATATTAAGGATAGACGGTACCAACCACTGGGAAACCTATAGAATATATCAATTCATTAATTCATTACAGAAAATCTATTATCGTTTAACATTCATTGAATTTATATAAGAATTAGAAATATCAACATTTCAAGTAGATAAATATAAGTCATGTTATTTGATAGGTTAGTTGTATGTTAAAGTACAACACAGAAGGTTTTTTCAAAACTTATTGATAACGTAAAGTATGAAATATATCCCCGTTACAGAATTATATTTATATAGTTATATTTTATTCCATAAAAAAGCAATTATTATTCATTTAAAATAATAGGATAACAAGAACAACGTAACGTGGATAAACAGCTGGTCATCTCACCTGCTTTTATCAAATAGATCCTGAATATCAATTTGTGACATTTCTCACAACAAACATCTGTTATATCAGAAAACTCACACTTTGATAATTCTATATTGGTTGATAAGTAAATTTTGTGTAAAATATTGCTTCTACAATATTGTGTTTCTCGAATGACCTTTTTTTAACCTACTTTTTAATAGTCTTCCAATTATAATATAGATTTTCTTTTTTTTTTCTTACTACTCTCTGTGATCAGCTGTTTTATACGTTACACAGCATGTAGCCCACACTGATTCTAGTGTTTTTTCTTAGGGCGATTCAATGCAATCACTGCCATAATGTTACTTCCATATTTACAAGAAAATTAAATTGTTCTTGATTAATTGCAATATTTCTATTTGCCAATAATAATCATTCTGTATTACGAAAAAGAAATACATATTTTAATTTACAACAAATGGTTACACTTTGCAATATTAAGCTTTTCATTAGGACATGCTTTTGCGCGAATATCGTTTCATATAAATTCGCTCGTACATTCTTAACGTCACATGACCATAGAGATACTAATATCTCTATGAACATGACACATAGGTTATATATATATATAGGTCGCTAGTAACAAAAAGTTTAAATATTATTCTGTAAAGAAAATTTAAAAAAAAAATTCGCTCTCTTTTCTATTGTGTGTTTAATAATGTTATTTATTTACAATATTTAAGTTAATTAAATATAATAATTAAGTGAGATTAGTATCAGAAAAAAAATTTTTAAAGGTATGGAAAAATAAAAAAAAAATAAAAATAGCTATTCTCGTTTAATCAAAACGAGAATATGACTTGAAATAATGAAATTGGAGAGCAAGTAGGACAGAAGAGAAAAAAAAATTGGAACATAGAAGAAATTTGTTTAATTATTAGAACTATGTTACATGTGTGAAAATATTCAATTTTCTTCTCGTTCCATACAATGATTTCAATGGTTTTTTATTATTTCAGCTTTTGAACAAATTTTTATAAGCTGCAAATATATTTTTATAATCCTCTTGACTGTTATCCTTTCTTATATTTTGGAAAGAGAAATCAGATGATTTTTTACGAAAATCTTTGGTGATACCTAAACGATTCAAATCTATTTTATTTTTGTTTTTTTGACTTTCATGTAGTAATGTCTTGTCGAATACAAATGTCGATTTGATGAAGTTTAAAGCTTCTTGGTCATTTTCGTGTAATATTAAATTGTCGAACTTGTTAATATTGTGCATGAATAAATGAAAGGAATCTTCTATATCGGAAATTCGTATAATAAAATCAGGATCACGTGTCGCCAAATATCGTAAAAATATTATTCCTTCTCTTATTGTATTTAATTGTTTCTTATTTATACTAGTCCAATAATTCTGGTCCAATAGATCACTTGGATTCATTTGCTTCATATATTCTTTTATACCATATTTTTTTAATTGAGTACAATGTAAATATTGTTTATTGAATCTTTCCATAAAATCGTTATTCGTATTCAGAACAAAGAAGTCGTCGTTGAATGTGCATTGATTGTACTGAAATTGTACATTATTTAAAGACACTGTTGAGCATCGACATAACATTTTGATGATATATCTTGAAAGTTTCATACAGCAATCGCAAGATTTAGGATTACCATTTTTTATAAGAAGAACATTCATGTGCAATGCAACTTTAATAAATAATAATAATGAATGCGTTATTTTAATGGTAGTTACAAGATCGAAATGAAAATTTTCAACTTGTATTATAAATATTCTCAAGTGACAAGCATCTGGCGTAAAGTGTGGAACACCTTTCCAGATTTTTACTGAAGTATGCGTATTCTTGCAAATCTTTTTAGCAAATGTCAAATGTTTGATAAAAGTCATCATCATTTTAGTTATTGGAATATAGCAAACAGATAAGGGTCTTGAGAATATCAATTCTTTGAATATTTCAGAAATTAAATCTATTCCTTTCTCGCAAAATCCTATTGTTTTGTCTACGTTACATAAGAGATCTATTATCGCACTAATAAGACCACTAAATTGATGAGATCTTCTTACTTGTCCTATTAAAATTACAAGTTGTAAAATCATCTCCAACATTTCAAACTTTGTATCTTTTTTATCCCAAGAATTATAACGTATCATATATTGTGAATATTCCTTGTAAGATTTATCTTTTTCCACAAGTAATGATGTTTTTCCTGCTACATATTTACTAAGGTATAACGATTCGGATGCAATATATGATAAAACACCTAAAATCCTTCTAGCTTCTATTCCACGTTCATTTTTGTGCCATTCATTTGCATCGCACACAGATTTGGTATAATAAATTGGGCTTTTGTAAAGATCAGAAAAATATACATCATTCATATCTCTAATGTCATCATTTTTCATAGCTTGCAAAATAGTTTGCAGAACAACTATCATATTTAAGATCAATTCCCTTGCAGTCGATACTAGTTTATTGATAATAGGTATACAGGTATCAGAATTTAATTCTGTGCTTACCTTATTTTTGATTAAAGCAATATCAGACAAGACAAATTCTAAAGATAATTTTTTACCATTTATCATAGTGACTACAGGCTTTACCAGATCTGGATTCTCAAAAATTCGAAACGTTTGTTCATCTTGTAAAATGGGTAAATTTTGTTTTCCAGTTTTTTCTGTGACTTTAATTTCAACTACAGATTTTTCTGGTAACGAAGGATTGAAAATTTCAGCTGGTATTTTTAATAGTGGATAATGTACTACTAACGTATTTAAATGATTACTCTTTCCATTACTGATATTAGTTTGAATATTAACATCTTTTTTGTCTATGTATTTAGTAGGAAAGTTCAAACGATTCACAGTATCAATTTCATGGTCGATATCTGGCGACATCATGCTAGTTGTATGTGGTTCTATGAATTTAATATTTCTAGATTCCAATAGCTTACATCGTTCCATAAGTTTTTCTATCTCAAAAGCTTTTAATTCAAGTTGAGTTTTTAAATCTTGTTTTTCCTTAATCATTTGATCAATTTCTCTTTTATGTTTCTTAGATTGTTCTTCAATCAAATGCATTTTTTCTATTTTATCATTTTCTATACGCGTTTGAGTCATTTGTAATTGATTTCGTAAAAAAACCGTTTCACCATCTTTCATTATAAAATCATTCAATAATTTATCTCTTTCTGTCTTCAATTGATTCAGTTCTTTTTCCAAATTTTTATCTTTACTATCAACGAATTGATTACTATTTTTATCTACTTGAAATGTTGAGTTATAATTTTGTTTGAAAAGTAATTTCTTTTCGAAATGAGAATAATCATTGGTTTGTGTAAATGTCATATCATGCGAAGTAGGCTTTTGTGTTCTAGTTGGATGGAAAATTTGTTTACTTGTCGATGGCATGTTCGCTTTTGCAATAAGTGAACTCTGTTTTTCTTTAGTGTCAATGAAAATATCATCGTTTAAACATGCCTGAGATGCTACAAAATCCATTTCCTCGATTTCCTCTTCAGCAAAATCATCTCCCCATACATCTTCAACACGTGCATTTTGTTTATTCGAAGAATCACTTTTTAATTTAGTTCCAAAAAGGTATGACGACTTTTTAGATCCATCAGATTTGAAACGTTTTGATGGAACCATGGAATAATTGTCATCATCTTTATCAGATCGTTTAAACATATTTGTTAGATTCCAATATATATCATTATGTACAATATATTATTGGTTTCATTGATAGAAATTATATATACACAATTTATTTTAAAGGTTACTACGCGTTCAAATTGTAATGACTGTCACTTATCACATATATACTTTTATGAATGCATATGAAATATAAAGTATATAAAACTACGATAAAAAATAAATATATTAAAAAATATATTCATTATCATATTATAGTACTATTTATAAACATAAATAAATATAAATAAAAGTATATATTTTTAAAAAATATAAATGAAATGTAGACCAATCAAAACGTTGATCTAACAGAATTTGTAAGGTTAAGATTGAACAGATGCATTTATCCAATATGGCGCGTATGCATTGGAGACTTTAATCTTGCCATCGTTTTCAATAATCAACAGATATTTTGTCCAATGATCGTACGTATTAAAAATACGGCATAAAGAAAAATCAAGTTTTCGGACAGGTAGTGATCGTCGTCAATATATGCTGTTCTACCAACAATTTAACTCTATTTCTTCACTTAGTATTTATATCCATGATTTAATTGGGCCAATCATCGATTTAATATAATTAGTATAATACATAAAGATATATAATCGAATGAAATGGTACACGTTGGTACGAAAGTTGCAATGTAACAGCTGTTAACAGAAGTATAACATAAGTTATGACAGATAGTATATTGGGTGTTGCCAAGTCGAATGGATTTACAAATGAAAGGTTTGTTACAAGTTATAATTTATCAATGCTATGACTGCGGAAATAAATGAAATGATTAAAAAGAATGCAGAAGCAGAAATTAAAGAATTCCATATTCAATGACTTGTTGTGTGAATGGGTTGTCCAGAAGATTATCTACCAGTTGATAAGGTTAGGACAAACCTGTCAGTCATGAAGACTCCTGTACCTCAACATTTAAATGGGAGTAGTGGTCAGTCCGTTGGCTCTGAAAAGACTGGTTCATATTTGATATCACGTTATAACAATCCATCCAATAACTATCATGTTTTAAAAGTAGCTGGACGTGATTCCAATTGTTACATTGCCAATAACATTGCTCCTAAAATAGGCAAACAGCAATTAGTATCATTGAACGGTGATTCTGTAAGTTGCAACAGTGTGAATGTAAATGAGGCTTTGGCATGCGATGTAGTTACTATGCCAGCAGTTAAGACTAAAGCTTTATGCGTACACATTCGTGAGAATAAATGGTATGACGCAGGTAATGTAGTTTCTGTCGGTGTGGCAGGAACTAGTCTCAGTCATGCCTTGGAAAGTATGTCCTTGGCTTATAATCCTACTACTAAACAGATATATTCTATGGAAGATAACGATACGCAATATGACTGTAAATCTCAATATCTAGAATCTCCATGTAATGGGAAAGAATTGTCAGCGAGTATAGTGTCTAAGATCGATGGAGATAAATATACAAAACTTGAAAGTGGCAGTGCAAATAGTAGTCCTAGAAACAGTTTACCTCGTTCATGTAGCAGTACAGTGTCTTCCCTTAGCGAAGTATCACCTTCTGGAAGTTTCTTAGGATCAGACGAGCAACACATTGTTGTAGATAAACAAGAAAAATCTAAGCGCTGGGGATTAAACACATTGTTTGCCAAAAATGTATTTTCTTGGAAAAATAAAGGTTCTCAGCAATCTACACCTACGGGTAGTCCATCAAGAAATATAGATAAAGTAGGAGGAAGTTTAGCTTTAATACAGCAACCAAGACCAGCGAATTTACCTGCAAAGAATGCTTTGGAGGAACAACGTCATCGTAAGCAATATACTGCAATTTTAGAAGCTGCACGTAAGAGAGAGTTACGCGAAGAGAAAGAACGTAAACAACAGAGAGAACAACAGATTAAAGAAGAAGAAAGATTAGCAGAAGATTCCAATACATGGAACATTCATGTTATACCTAAATTTGAAAGCGTTAAAGATACAAAAAAAGTACGCGAATTATGGTGGCGTGGTTTGCCACCAAGCGTACGAGGAAGAGTATGGAAATTGGCTATTGAGAATAGCTTAAACATAACACCACATTTGTATAATCTTTGCTTGGACAGAGCAATGTCTAGCCCTCCTATGAATGAATCCTTAGCTGCGATCAAATTAGATGTATCTCGTACCTTTCCTACCTTATGTGTCTTTCAAGAAGGTGGACCATTATCAGATAGCCTTCAAGGTATTTTGGCAGCCTATGCCGTTTATAGACCAGATGTTGGCTATGTGCAAGGAATGAGTTTTGTGGGAGCTGTATTATCATTAAATATGGAACCCTCGGATGCCTTTGCCTGCTTTGCTAATCTCTTGAATCATCCTTGTCACAGAGCCGCCTTTACCTTGGACCAAAAAAGAATGAATGTTTATTACAAGGTATATTCGAGCGCGCTTGCACATAAGCTGCCAAAAATATTTTCTCATTTCACAGTAGCTGGTCTTAGTCCGGACCTGTACCTGTTAGATTGGTTGTATACTATATATGCCAAAGCAATGCCTCTCGATGTCGCATGCAGAATCTGGGATGTATTCCTAAGAGACGGCGAAGAGTTCCTTTTTAGAACAGCCCTTGGCGTATTACATTTGTATCAAGAAGAATTATTGAAATTAGACTTTGTACATGGAGCGCAATTTCTTACTAGATTGCCTGAGAACCTCCAGGCAGAAGCTTTGTTTAACAGTATTAGTCAAATGTCTACTACTGTCGGGACTACGACATTCCAACAAATGCTGATACAATTTTCTTCAGTGTGATTTTTTTTTTTAGCTCTATTTAAAAGAGTGATTTCATTTGATTTGATTTGATTTTAGTTTTATATTTCTTATTTTCCAGTGAATCCAATGAAGAAAAAATAGTGCGTGAAAATCTTTAATTATATATAAATATATATATTGTATTTAAATTGTGATGACGTCAAAGTGAGTAATAATGTTGCATGCGGTATGAAAGTAGTAAAAATAAGCATATTATTGTGTGCTTGAATATTTGTTAAGAATAATTATCTTATATGTCTGTAAAATCTGTATATATATATATATATTTGACATTGTTTTTTGACGTTCATTTTATCAATGATAGATATTACGGTGTATCTGAATTTCTGAATAGCTAATCAAAATATTTATACAATTTTAAGAATATCTGAAATCTTATTATCATAATAATGTTAAATGTTGGTGCTTCTTATAATTAATTCTTTATCCTTGTGTAAGATTAATTTAATATGCAATTGAAATGGAAGTTTCTCGATGAATAGTGAGAGATCTATTCTTGTTTATGATAAATATATATATAAATATATATTGACATATAGATAACATATTTTATGAATGTAATGTATTGATAAAATGCGTACATACAACATTCATACATAGGAAAATAAATTAGTGGATCTGAGGGAAAGTAGTAGGAGGAAGAGGAGGAGGAGAAGAAGAAATGCATACAAAAAATATCTTATGCCATGAAAACTGAAGAAGCACACACAATTTACAGACTGGAACAAGTATTATTTTGGGCAATTGAACAAATAATATTCTAGATAAAGAAAATATTCTATTATTACACTCTCTACGATATGAAAAACATATTTTGAAATATTGTCCATAATATCTCAGTGGCAATACATACATCTACTACTACTAATCTTTTACATATGCATAATAGATCTTTGTTATGCATATTTCAATATTTATTAATATAAGCAAATATAAATTGTATATGTATAAGTGAAGAAGACAAATGGGTGGGAATATTAACATAATATTCTATAATAATGCTCTGTGAAATATACTACTATTGGTTTCAATGTGCATCATTGATATGAAAAGTTACTGAAAGATTAACGTTTCGTTGATTTTTTATAACTAAATAATATTTCAATGATTTAAATCCGTCAATTTGTATAATCGCATTTACTCATCTTCCATGTGTTTGTGGATTAACTAGAAGTTTAATTAGTAATCCCGAAATATCCTCGTACTCTTGATAAACTATAAGTAAGCTATAATGTATCTCTTTCTCTTTTTCTTTCTAACTCTCTCTCTCTCTTTCTCTCTCTTTCTCTTTCTCTCTCTTTCTCTTTCTCTTTCTCTTTCTCTTTCTCTTTCTCTTTCTCACTTTCACTCTTACTACTTTCTTTCTCTCATCGAAGTATTTTATAGTAATTAATAATTATGTATAATATTTCACTTAGCACTTTCCTGTACAGTTACTGAGTTATGAATACGCAGAGACTTATAATCCCGTCTTTTAAGTGGCCTTTCTAATGGAGATAAGATAAATTCAAGATTTAGGAATCAAAGATCTTTCTATGTAATCATTGAGCTTTATTGGACAAAAGGAATCTCATAAAAATATTTTCTTACAACGTACCTACGATATAAGCTTATTGTATGTGCTTGTTGCGTAGGTATATCTTTGTTTTTTTTTTTTGCTGAAATAATATAATTTTTTTTTTTTTTTTTTTTTTTAAGTGAGACGAATATTCTTTTTATATATTATCTTTTAGAAATGTTGATTATGATTATTATTTTTTTATTAGTAAGACACGCCCGAGTTTATTTATGTAGCTTACGTTTTATTTTTTTTTATTTTATTGTAATATTTTTTTCTACAGACGAAAATAATTGCGATAGATAATATAGATCAATAATCGATCATCCTATATAGTTTTTAATATTAAAAATAATTAAAATCACAAGCACATTGCAATAACTTTATGCATAGCATGGCTTGAAAGCTTCAAGTTATGAAATTCTAATATAATACGTACATATATATATATATATATATATGATAGAAAATTAAATAAGGTAACAACATTCGTATCTATAAGCCCCGTATTATTTATTCTGTTCGTTAAAACGATGATAAAAATCATGATTCTTCTATTCCTTTTGACAATACAATTTTAATCTAACTTTAATCCAACGAAATATGGATTACCCATGGAGTATGTATTTTCATTTTAATATCGTGTATATACAGGGTGAGATAAAAGTTACTTTTCCCAAAATTACGTAAATTGTTCAAATTGGTGTACATTATACTCTGATACTGAACTCGTATAATTTAATTTACTTATTTACATATTGCGGAACACAAAAGTGAGGATTGGTGTTCAAGTTTTGGACAGATTGATCTCGTTCTATCAATTGTTGCAATTGATTGAAATTTAGTACACGATGATAAAAACACAAAATATATTTAACAACAATACTATTGCCATAGTAATCGTATATAAAAAGGTGTGTATTAAAATAGCTGTTGGTACGGCTGCAATCGCATATCATTGCATAATCAAATTATTTTGGTGAACGAATCTCTGGGGGAACGGAAAGCAATTTTTATCTCATCCCGTATATGTATATGTAAATATCGATTAACATGGATAACCATATACGTATATATATATACACAATATTTACGCATACCTACATAGAAAGTATATTTTATGAAATGCTCCTTTTTTTATCGGCACGCTTCTAAATGAAACTTAAAAAAAAAAAAAAACAACTGCAATTGACGAATAGTGGAAAAAAAATTGATTAGATCGGAACTATGTGTGCAAGTGCAAGTGGGTGATTATGATAGTTTGATGTCCTAGTTTTTACTCGACAATACTTCCATTCCATCCACTATTCCAAAAATGATTCATTAAACGATTCGTGCTAATGAGATTTTATTAATAAGCTCTTTGCTGTTGTAAATACGATTATTATTATTATGCAACAAAACGTATGTATTACGATTGTAGTCATTCTATCGATAATAAGTACGAAGCACAAATGAAATTCAATATTTTATCGTTTAATTCAAAATACGATAGTCGCTAACGATTACTATAATCTCGAACGATCTTCAAAGGATCGCGACTATGATGGTCAAAGTGTATCTTTCTCTCGTATGCATATATGCGAAAATCTCGCTAACCAATTTCTTTGACGGTTTGGTATTATCCTTAAAAACCAAATGAAACGAAATGAAATGAAACGAAACGAAATGAAACGAAATGAAATTTCTCTTTTAAAAAAAGAGACATTACTAATAAATCTAATCTCGATGCTTAGAAAATAAATAAATAAATAAACATAAATATACCGTTATGCTAATAATATTCCACGATGATAACGCGCGACAACGCAATATATTTCTTCGAATCTACTATGTTGCATTTTATCAACATATACATACTTCAAAAAAAATCCTCGTAATCTTCGACTATGTTTAAAAATGGTGCTTCGATGATGATGATGATGATGATGATGATGAAGAAAAAAAAAAAAGAAAGAAAAAAAACAACAAAATATCGTATACATGTATTTTTCATCGAATATTATTATTATTATTATTATTATTATTATTATTATTATTATTATTATTATATATACATAAAAAAACGAGGTACTTACGTATTAACGCTACCGCAGCAAAAATTCCGCTAATGCGCCAATAAAGAGGAATCTTGTTGTTTGCACACAGCAACCGTCAGGGTTTCGTCAGGGTTTCGTCAGAGTTATGCCGACAGCATCAGGTGAAAGAAAATAGAGAGACTGTTTTAAATCTATGTTAAATTCTATATCGGCCCATTTTCCACCGAAATCCGATTGTGACTACTTTTTATAAATAAAATCTTTTGAATTTTGAAATTGTTTTGATTTTAAATAAAGTTTTTTATTCAATGATTTTTCGTAACAATTTTAAGGTTTAGATTAGCGCATTACGGAATTTTTCTGCGGTGTCGTTAATACGTAAGTACCAAAAACGATATAATATTTTTCATTTTATTTGCGACGTAACGGAAGATAAGTAAAAATAAAACTGATAAGAGGCATTTAAAAAAAAAAGTATACATTACGCGCGCGAAAGTTAGAAAGAAGGAAAAAAACAAGAAATAAAAAAGAAAAAGCACTTTCTGTAAACAACGTACGTATATATGTGTATGTACATAAATACCAAAGATTATATACTTAAACAATATATTTCCGAATAATGTGTATCGAACTTATCTCCTCTATCGATCATCATCCAAGAGATGGGCTTTCTAACATTATAGAAGACAAATTTGAGGCATATAAATATTTCATCGACTTTATCAACGCGCTAATAAAATGATAATGATGATGCAACGATCTTTATAAAAAAGAAAAATAAACAAACAAAAAAATTAAAAAAAAAAGTACAGAAAAATTATGGAGGGTAGAGGTAAGGAGTAACATCTCTGTATATGAAAAGTGTCCGTCGAAATGCATTCAATTAGGATGGCGCCACAGTACCTAGAGGATACATTTTAAAGGAAGCGCCAAATATTATTAGAGTAGGATTGAGAAATAAATAAGGAACACAAATTTTACCTATAACTGTTTTGTTATTCACATTCTTTTTCATAAAATTAAATGATAAAAAATCAATAAACGTACTATTCACAGTTCACGAAATAAAATCACTCTAGCTACGCGTTTTTTCATAATATTTCTTTAAGGTTATATTTACTACATTACTACATAACTCGGCATACTTCTATTCGTTTACAATTGCTACATTCATACCACACCTCTCTTTTCACCAGCGCCATTTTGGAAGGTTTTTGAGCTGTTATTTATAGAAAACGCTGGACACTTTTTCACATTTTTTCCCATAAGAGATGTCACTGCTTACCTCTACCCTCCATAAGAAAAATAACACGTTGATCGGCAGCTGTCAGCTATGTTTCTTTTTTTTTCGATTATTATTTCAAACTGTAACACCGTATATATTATATTATTAAAATGAATTTATTCCATGATAAAATAATAATTAATTATGTTAAAATAAATAATAAATGTATAATATTTTGGCTTTGGGAGAAAGAAACACACACACACTCGTGGCCAGTCAACGTGTTGAGGAAGAAAAAGTCCTGAAGAAAAAAAAATAATAATAATAAATAAAATAAAGGTAGTACGATATCGAACACCATTTTCGATGTGTAATGTCGTTGAATATATTAAAACGATAATATATATTTTATCTACTCAATCATGGGCATTGTCATTATCACGTAACAAGCAACCATTATTCCTTCATCGAGCATAATTAAATATTATAAACAATGTGCCAAGTGTTTTACGAATAAAAATGGACGGTTCTATCTATTGTAAAAGGCATGCAATTCTCTTCGAAACGAAAGAAAGAGGGGGTGGTGGTATTATTATATTAAAAAAATACATGGTGCATTATTACAGTTATTCTCTTTTTTTAACGAGCGAATTTACTATTAGAAATTGTCACGTCACGTCACTGCGAAATTGTAATTATCGATTTATTATTATACGTAAACGAGACGTACGTACACACACGTGGTGTGTGAAAACGTAAAATATAATAAAATAAAAAAAATAAAAAATAAAACGACAAAATTCAATATAAATAAATAAATAAATAAATAAATAAATACAAAAACGAATACGCGAAGAGTTAATAAAAACTAAACTCGTTTACGAATTTTCGCGTACAAAAAGGAAGGGAGGAATGCTCGTATAAGAAAAATATAATAAAAATTAAGATAAGCAAAAAGAAGCTAAATATTTTCTATATCGTTTAGAAATCTCGATTCGAAAAACATTTTCTAGCTTGTCGATTTTTCGTAAGAATACAAAACAATTGTTACGAGTAGATAAATGAGAAGATGATAATAAATTTTCGGATAATAATAATGCAAGTATCTTTATCTGAATCCTCGTTCTATCGATTTGAACGTTTAGTTCGATATTTGAAAAGAAAAGAAAAGAAAAGAAAAGAAAAAAAAGATAGAATCGATAATCTCTATTAGCTAGAATCTCTCTATTTCTGACAAGTGCAAAAAGTTTCAAAGGGAAAAACAATGCACTAAACGGCATGCTTAAAAAACACTAACAATGACACTTCTGTGTTCCTTGTCGTTAGTGCCTCACAGTAAAAGTAACTCATTATATATATTTTTGACGCGTTTTATCGTGTACAATTACCTTAAGTGCAATACTGTAATATATATTTTTTAAAGGAATCGAACCCAGTATTTATTTTGTCAAAGGTTGCGCGCATCGATGTAAGAAACGTGTGTGTGTGTGTGGGTGTACTTCGAGATGGTACCTATACATACTCCTTACTCCTCTTAGGACGAAGAGTTTCTGCTCAATTTTTTCGATTGATCAAGAAACTTTTTTCTCTTATGTATATAAAAGTACGGTAATAAGCGAATATTATTGGAACTTGTCCTAATTAATTGAACGAACGGCTACTTTTCTTTTTTGAGAATTTGCCGAAATTCAAACGATGATCATCATTTTTATTCGATATTTACACATATACATATATATATATGTATACCTCTCTCGAAGTATACTCATTATATTAATGTAATAAGTATTACAGTAACCTGGTGAATACTACTATTCTGTAAATATAATAAATACGTATGTGCTTGCTTCCTAATTTAAAAGGGTAAAAAAAAAAAAAATAAGAAAAAAGAACAAAAAAAAGAAGAAGAAGAAGAAGAGGATTCAACTTGGCGTATTGCTAATTATAGAATATACACACATTACACATATATCCACAGGACACGCATACACATACACATAACATAAATGACGATTTTTATATCATTAACGAACGAAGCAAAACAAATAAAAAAAAAAAGGATATGAAATTTTCAACCTATCGATGATATGTAAACGTGTACGCGCGCGCGTGTGTGATTACAGATCGTAAACACCAGCGACATATCTCTATGGATGACTTTTGTTTCGCATATGAATAAATAACGTCTTACGATATCGAATAATATTTTGGGGATTATTTAAAACCTTCCAATTACGATGTAAGATCTCTCATCTTTGTCGTCGTCGTCGTCGTCTTTCTCTTATGTTAGATATCATTACCTTTGATTTACGATCATTGAAAAACATTGACTGTATACGCCAAAAGAAACATACTTTAGCAACAAATTGCTTTGCCATTAGGAGCTCGTTATATAAACTTCGCTTAAATCATGTATGCGTTTCATTTCAGATGCACTCGTCGTGGTAACCTGGTAATAGTAGTAGGAGACCAACAGGTACATACAACATATCTACATGCACGTATACAACATATGTACTTACATACTACTACGCATGTGTCGTGGGGAGCAGATAGAAGCCGAGTGAAGAAATGAAAAGGATAAAGGAAAACCGGTATGTGCTGCCAAGTATGATCCATTATGTTGTACAGGGTTAAGAAGGGTTACACGCGCCTGAGACAAACGTTGCTAACGGGAATTAATGACAAGAGAATTCTAACAGTAAATTCAGATTACATTCTACCTATCCCTATCCCTTTATTTCTCTCTTTTTTTCTCCTGTCTTTTTTTTTTCTCCAATAATATATATTTGTGCGAATGTAAATACGACATGGCATAATTATCTCATGATAAAAACATGAAAGATTGATACTTTTTCTACGAATCTAATTATATAAAGTAAATAAATTAGTAAATAGGTTTATCTAGAAAATACGTGAGTGATTTTATTCCAAACAAAAAAGTAACATTAACATTAGAACCTTCCATAATTTAATGGTTTCTATCTTTTTTCTCTATTTTCTACATCTATGTTATTTCTTTTATTTTCACGTACTTTCATAAAATTTTATCTTGCATATTTGCATAACCAATTTTTGTCTTCTTTTAACATTTCGATGTAAAATTACTTTGTGAATTGTTATTTTATCAATGAATTTTCGTTAAAGTCCCAATATAGGATGTTAATTCGAACGTAAAGGTGTAAAATGCATCCGTGCATCCGAACGGAATAAGACAGGAACGCGTAAATTTCATTTAAATGTCTTCGCGTTTCCATTTAGATCGAGCAAACGAAGGAGTTAACGAATGAGCGAGCAAAGACGTTCATTAATGGAACGAGAAATCGGTTTCTCCAGTAGACAAAGGGAACACAAGTGGAGATAGTAGTAGGTACTCTTTACTGGACGAGGCATCACTCAACTAATCTTCCTAACTTTGACTTCTATCCTTAATTGAAGGGGATCCAGGAATGAGAAAGGTCTACGAAGAAGACCTGTACACATGTACGATATATATATATATATATATATATATGTGTGTGTGTGTGTGCGCAAGTGTATAAGATAGTAACTGTAAGCAGAGAGTGAGAGAAATCCTCCGTTGGACGAGTAAATAGGGTTTTTACTCCTCCTAGCTTATTTCCACGCCATGTCACGCCATGCCATGCCATGCCACGCTACGCCACATAGTACTTCACGCTACGCTTTCATTTGGATATTCGACGTAGGTATGAAACATACGTAGGAAGAATTTCCCTTGAATCTACGTTAGAGGTAATTTCTCCTTTTCCTTCGATCTACCTTGAGAAATACGTTCGTTCTTTCGACGTGTAACGAATCGGATATCCGAACATAAGTAAGTAAGTACGTTCCTTCCTTAACTTCTATCATCCTTTGGCTATGCTTTAAAAGAGATGAGATACTTTTTCAAAATAAATAGAATGAAAATTTTATGAGCCAACTATTAATATATGAGAGAGAGAGAGAGAGAGAGAGAGAGAGAGAGAGAGAGAGAGAGAGAGAGAGAGAGAGAGAGAGTTAATCTTTTTAAAATATAATACTAACAAGTACAATAAAAGGTATATCGTATGTTTTGACAATATTCATTGCAAGGGCTTTAGGTCCGGTCGTAATTTTCAGAACGACTTGTGTAGTTTGTAACGCGAGGGGTTAGTATCCTGTGTTAAGGATCGAGTCCGATTTCTAACGGGTGCGACGTGCCTTTTAGGGTTTACTCGTTTCTCTTTCGTGGCTATGTGCGGTTAGGTTACAATCCTCCCCTTTTCTGGAACGTTGTTAACTCGGAGGTCACGGGGTAACGCACCCTAGAAATAGAGTCAATAAATTAGGGGAGTTAATCCTATTCATGGCTGAAGTATGATTTAACGCGAGCTAGTTACCGTTCGCGAGGAACACGAGAGTCTCCTGATTTTCAAGTTATGAGAATTACAGCTTTGCCGGGGACCTGTAGATTCCACCCTTACTTTAGTACAGGGCTCATTCCGCCTCATCGACGACTAAATACTTCCGGCATTAATGCGTTTCGACGGTCCTAGGATTAAACCGAGTCGAATTGCTGGATTTCGAGATCTTACGAATCTTTGAAGAAATCTCTATGTAAATTAAGTGTAACACCCCTTTGGCCAATTTAAGTCCAAGTAATTTTTCCTATCTTCTCTGACTTTCATTGCACCTTCTCATTATCTTTAACTTTCACACTCCCTTTCTTCGTTTCGTCTTATAATCAAAACGATCTCGATCGACCGCATTCAAAGTGGTTAGATTAGTAAGCGTATAATTCTCTAAATAGTAAGTGTGCAATTAGCTTTCCCTCTCTCTCTCTCTCTCTCTCTCTCTCTCTCTCTCTCTCTCTTATACCTAAATGCATTTGCTTGTCCGGAAAGATACGGATTACGTAAGATAATGAATGAGGATTTTGCATCTACGTATATGTCGTTAATTGATCTGTCCGTACCACGTTTATTATAGTCTGCGTTTGATGATTCGATAGATAATACGAGGGAACAGGTACATTGAATATTATTGATTTATAGATAAATTTGATGTTCAACTTTGATAGGTGAATTATTTACTATTCTTGTAGTCGTCGTTGACACGATAAACATGTACAATCGATCGGAATGCATTATTCCTTTACAATGTTCATCTTTCTTTTACGTCTATCGAAACTATTGTCATCCCTTTGAAAGATCTCTTTGTGATATTACAGCGTTGTATGTTATCTTGGTAGACACACATAAGTAATATAACCAACGATATTTCATTTTTATATTTATTTATTTGTCTTTCCAACAAATCACTATGATAAATATATGTGATTTATAAAAAGCATTACCAATTAGAAAGGTTGATGCAATTTAGCGCGATAGAGGAGGAGTTCGTTTCGATTTACCGATTTTCTGCTTCGTGCGTTTATTATCATTCAGCTTAACGTAACCAAGTTCGATAGAACCGTTCGTTCGTACAAAATATTATCGAAGGGTAGTTGCATATCGGCTGTATCAGTTGTCCCCAAGAACGAAGACGAATCGGTTCGGAGCATTGTATAGAGAGGCGTAAACCAATCGGACTAATAGAATTTCCCCCGTTGCCTATGTGGAATGATTCATAGGACGTCGCATGGGAAACGAATTTATTAATAGGAGCTCTGATCCATCGGTTAGAATACCATACGACTAGTATTCATCGTCAAAGGATTCGTCATTATTAACTATTATGATGTCTATCTAACTTTTAGATATACCTAATTAATTGCTTTACCAATCGATAGATTTATCGTGTAAGATAACAACTGTAAATATAAATCAATGATTGATGCTCCATTATTTTCAACTTACATTGATAGTATATCTTTACGAGTCGTTTACAGGATTCAAATCGTAACGATTAAATAACCCCCGTAAGGGTTAACTTCAGTTTAGATTTCAAACAAAGCACAAACCTTTTATATTGAAAATAAATAAAAAAATAAAAACGTATCGTTAATTCTTTGTCGGTTAACCAAAACATTAAACGATACAAAGTAGGTAAATAAAAAAGAAAGGTTCGTATTAGTTTAGTTTGAAGATAGGTTGATTTTGTGGGCAAAGTGATCCTCTTTTATTATCCCATCTAGGATCTAGTATTGTACTGGAACGGTCGATTCTTTCGAAAACGGTAGTCACCTTAGGCAATGCTATTCCTTCCAATTCCGTATATATCGTTTCTTCAACGAGAGAAAGAGCTTCAGCAGCGTGTTGTCGATTTCCTTCTTGATCCTTCTTCCTATGAACGGTTATACGCGACATCGAGTCGAAATTGCCCGTGGCACCGATCGTTCTAGCAGCTGTTCACTTTTCTCATATTTTCTTATCGTACTTCTATGCGTTACTGTTTCTCATTTTACTTCCTACTTACCACTATTGTATCGTCATCATCATTTTTACAACATTTCTTTTCTCATGTGATATTTATGTTTGTAATTGTTTAGTTTTACATTTATCACATCGAATCTTACATAATATCCATGAGAATGCATTATATTAAGTACTCGATTATCAGAAATTGATCGGTGCGCGTGGTACACGTGTATTACGTCTTCCCTCTAATTGAGTAACATCTTCAGCCTGTTTAGCTCAGAGAACTTACGTGCTTACGTCAGAACTTACGTAAGTGAACTGTAAAAATATAATAAATGGAAGAAAAAGAAGATATGTTCCGAGGCCCGTTTCGCGAATTTCGTGGCGAAGGAGACACACCATCACCACCACTACCATCGTGGAAACGTAACTCCCAAAGTGCAAGTTCTTGCGCAACGAGAGTTTGCTTCGCAGTGATTCATCATTGTTACGGAGAATATTGGGATATATATCGGGACGGTCCCTCGGGCTAGAAGCAAATGGAGTAGACAAGAGTAACACGGGGATGTTAGTGTGTGAGAGAGAGAGAGAGAGAGAAGGGGCGTACGTCTATACTTACCCTCCATCTACTTAAATGCCCCTACATCCAAGCCAATGGAGGGTACTTACGATCCACCGTTTCGTGCGAAGGTCCTTCTTCTGCAGTTTTCTGATTAAACTGCGTCTCTTTTCTACTAGAAAGAAGAAAATGCTCTCTTTACTATCGATCTCAAAAGAGATCTCGTTTATCAGCATTCCTAATATTTCTTTTCTACCTTCCTCCCCCCAATTTACATGGATAAACTGTAATACGTCCGTTCAACCGAGAGTTAGGAACATCGTGAAGCGTACAATTTTGAAAATGGTTTACGTATGTAAGTAAGTACAGGCCATATTTAGCTTACGCGTTAGCAGAATTCACATACTCGATCGAGCAACAGGCCACGAGGAGTTAGTCTCGTGATTCGTAAAGTTTTTTTCTGAAAAATAAAAGAAAATAAAATAAAATAAAATAAAGGACATATTTCTTTTGGAGGATCGATCGCAGCTGCACGTGTCCGTTCGTTCAGCTTTCGCCGATTACAGCCCGATTACAATCTGTCGGCTCGCGTTACGATCTCGCCCTTGGCACAATCTTTTTATTTTCCCCCTTTTTACCTTCCTTAACCGAGAGTGCGCGAGTTGAAAATAAATAAGTAAGACTCGAGGAGTTCGGTATAAGATCGTGCACCATATGCGAAACGCCATGTGGCAGAGGGGAGGTCAACGACGCGCGAGGATGATGTCGCATCGAGAAGAAATATTTTTTGGTCGGTGAATGATTTGTATACACAGAAGGAATCCCTTTTGGTTTAAAAAAAAGGATCTGCACGAAGAAGAAGAAGACACCTGCTTAGCCTCGAGGTGAGAGAAGACACTGTACCTATTTGTTATTAACAAAAAGGAAGATTATCTCGTATGGAATCCTATCGATTGTGGTTAACTAACAGTATAACATTTTCACCACGAATGAAAAGAACTAGGAAAAGAGAGATAGATAAAGAGATGGAAAAAGATTTGTTTTTTTTTTCTTTTACCTTAGAGGTACCGAGAAATCACAGGTATGTATATAAACGTATGTGCTTATAAACTCTCATACAGAGAGAAAGAGAGAGAGAGAGAGAGAGAGAGAGAAATCTGTAAGGTTTGTTACGGTTTGTTCACGTCGTTCGCCGCAAACCTCCCACTTTTCACTTGAGGCTATCTTTTGAGGGATCCAACCGCTTTTAAAGTAAGCGTTAGTATGTTCGAGATCAAAATGGTACTCCCGATGGTCGATGGTAAAGCAAGCACCATTTATCTCTCTTTCTCTCTCTCTTTCTTTTTCTATTTTTACGTTGTCGATGTGCAAACGATGAAGAGTCTTCAAAGGATTATTTTACAAATCAAATGAAAAGAGAAAACTCCGAACGAATAAATAGTCTAAGAGTTGGCTACATAAAAATACTTTTATCTGGTGCAAGATTCATTTTTATTGAAAAAGGTACCTTTGGTATAGCTGAACATAAATCTGCAAGTCTGCCATCGCAAAACTGAAGACTAAAGCAGGGGGGTACGATTGAAAACGTGAAATTAAGGTGTGAAAAAAATCATAAGGTACACGGATTCTAATTATAGAAAAAGC